CGTTTATGGAATTGAGACATATATCGTACATGTTTTTGATTACACCTTAATAATTGATGGTTGGCATAAATTGGACGATCTTCGAACTACCTCGAACATGACTGAATAGATAACGCGGCGATGTCGTCGTCCATTGCACCGGTCGCCGAAGGCATCCTCGCGCTTAGAGTGCGACTCGTCCAATCCGCGCGTGTACACTAATAGGAAGACAAAGTGCACACCCAAAGCTACAAGACTGCACGAAATTAATACGGAACCGGCTTTACTCTGCGGACGTACCGCGGTTCGAAGCGCAGAAAAGACGGCGGAACGAGATGCAGATATCCCGAGGCACGGCCAGGAGCCGCAAGTCGTTTTCTCGTCCTACCGAGGAGAAGCGTACCGGTTCTTGCGCTGAATAAATGGGAGATGCTCTACCATCTTGGGTTCCCATCGCTCGCGCCAGAAGATAAACATCAGCAGCAGCAGCAGCCGCAACCTCAGCACACGGTAGCCAGAGGGACCTTCGTAATTAGCCGCGCTTGCGTGTCTCTTCTTTTTCTCGCGTTAGAAACGCCGAAGACTGCGATGGTGTCTGTTTATGAACAGTTGGCGAATCGATCAAAGTTCTTTGAAGATCGCCGGATGACCGAACTATTTCATAGAAGCTGCCCTGCGGATTTCAGACGAAAATACACCGGGCGGAAGGAGACCGGAAAGCGAAAGGAGGATCACCGTTAAGTTTTGCGCTTTGAGCGGAAAATGTTAGAATGTCAAAGAGCCGAGACTTATTACGGTAACTTTGTAAATTAATAAGATTTAAGTAATAAATTACGTATCGGCGAGAGAGAGTTCAAAGTTCATCAAAAGATGAATCGAATCCTTAATAAATCCAGCAGTGGAGACTAAGATAATAAAGTCATAGGAAAAAGCAAATAAAAAATCACCGTGAATAATAGAGAATACAAAAGCCAATTTAATGTAAAAGAACGTATCGGAACGTTTCGATCCTGATTGTATATCCAATTTAAATTCTCTCAATCAAGAGAGTTTTAATACAATAGATATTATTATTACAAGTACACAAAATTATATAAAATTTAAAAAAAAATACAAATTCATGCAACTTGAGCCTGTATATTGAGAAACAAAAAAATATTTAAATGTATAATATGATAATAGTAATCCTTAATAATTTTTTTATTATGTATTATTATTTTACACATTTTTAATCTTATTAAAACGATAGTGCAAAATTGCCGTCTGGTGATTTTTTCGCGTCGACGATTGCGTCTCTCCCCAAGAAAGGATTTACAAAAATAAGTCGCGGCGCTCCCCGGCAATTACACGAGGACGACTTCGTCGAGTTTTAATTTGCCTGCGCCAACACTCGAGACCGTGTCGCGTGTTCGTATACGCGACGCTTTCCACGAATTCACGCGCAAATTTATGCACCCGAACGATGGAAACAGCGCTCAAAAGAGCGCCGTGCCTGCTTCTCCTACGCCCGCCGTAAATCTCGTCGCCCGAGAATTGTGCGTTTCCTTGCGAAAGACTTTGAGCGTGATTTCTCGCCCGGTCCCGTCGGAATTTCTACGATAGGCAACTCCATGAACCGAAAATCCGCGAACGTAGAGTGCACGTTTTGTCTCCGATAAATGTTTATTGAAATTAGACTCACCGCTACTTTCACATTCACGCACATTTTGCGAGTCCATCGACCCAAATGACAGTGATTGTCAAACGAACAAATTTGAGCGAACTCAGTATATTTACAGTTTTGCGAAGATCTTGTTTTTTTACACCTCAATCGTCGTTTCGCGAGAAGAAATTCAGATGTGCCTGTATGCAGAATTTTTACTTCCTAGTTTTCCGTGCTCTCTTTTTTTTCTGCATCGTCGAAAACTTCTCGACGAGAAAATGACGCGTTTTCCGTCGCGGTTAAAGCCGTTCGCGAGCAACGGGGGAGGGGATGAGGGACAGGGTCGAGCTTGGATGCGAATTTTTCGCCCGAACTCAAGAGTTCGTCGACGAACGGCGTTTAACGATCCGGAAACGTTGTAAGTGTGGAGATTAAAGCGTGTATTCGTACACGTAGCAGCGGATCTGTGCGCAGCGGTACTTTCCTTCCTTCTCCCATTCACACTCCCTTCGGAATGACACGTTAGGAACGGAGCCAAGCCAACTCTAGAATGTACTATAGGTATACTTCCAAATGGGAATACTTCTCCTGGCTTTTAATTTAAGTTTGAATTTCAAGGAAAATAATTATCTAACCGAAATGGCGCGAAACACGAACAGCTTTTTAACTATTGATCAAAGTATACGCGGTTTGACTATCGATTAAAGTATACAAATTGCGTAGATTAGTATAAATAAAAGTTACTGCAACGTAAAGACAGATAATCTCTTGACATCAATATCTCGAAATTGTCGCATTTATTTATGAGAGCTCTCGCTGAGATTAATAAGCTTGGAAGAATCCGCTGTTCACGCTTTGAACATGTGCCGAACGTAATCGGTGCGGCATGATTGATTCGCTGATTCGTCGAACAAATTCATGTGTATTCACTCGTGAAATACGCTCACGAGCCATACAGGCGGATGTAGCTTTATCTAGGCCCCATCATTCACGTTAATTCTACTTAAGCACCGATGCACCTGGCTCGCGAGCTCAACGACGCGACAAGCGCACGATGCACTCGGCAAAAATGAAGAGACGAATGCCATGCAAATCGAGCATTGGAAATGCGCACAAGGGCACCTTATGCAGCGGCACATAGTGGAACCGAGTGGCCGAACGGCAGTTCGAGCGAATGAAAGATGGCAGTGTGCGTATTGTAGAAGGCCGGAACAAACGGGGCACTAAATTCATATGATTTCTTCGTTCCCAAGCGGAGGTTCGCGTGGTTTGCTTGGGCGTTGCGTCGGCGCCAACGTTGAATATTTGTGCCGGCATAAGCGTTCGGCTAAAGCTAGTCGAAAGAAAATTTATTCACGAATAGAAACAGTAAAAGTCTATCTCCTCATCGACCTCGCCTTCAGAAGGACAATTATTTAAAGAACGCGCGCGAATGAACGTGGGGGAATTGAAATAAAGAAAAGAATACTAATAAAGGTACAAGACGTATTTGCCTCGAGCGTAAGTGCATACAAATTCAGACATGTGGACATAATCAACTCTCCGTAATTACGAGCAAATGATTAAGCCTCTCTACTTGAAGTATGCCCGCCAGGTACAAAGAGCTCAACGTTCTCCTTCGAGTAAGCTCGCGCGAAATGCAGATCGATGGTGCAATTAGTTGACGCGAGTACGCTAGAGCCCGATTATTTCCCGTGTGCTTTTTATTTTTAATTATATTACATTTGCCGTGCATAATATGTAATCTGAGATGACAAGCAATTTTGAAATGCTATTATTCGGGGTGACACGGTCGCTGCGGGGAATGTATCTCGCGATGGCAAAGCCATGAGAATGCATTAGAGCGAGCGTGCATTTATGTCGAGATTATCCTCAAGCCTGTAATGATTAATTGTATGTCATGATTGATCTAATCATCGGCTCAGAAACGAATGCCGTGTCTCGGACACAATCGACCGAACGAGCTGGGCGGTTAGAGGTTGGCTGCACTCTGTGACCTTAATTACTACGTCGACTAATCGATCGCGCGCATTGTGATCGTACTATGCTCGACACTGGTACCGGCATACGCAATCACTTCGCGCTGAATAGTGTCTTAATTGCTGGTTGGATAATCCGATTTAGCCACTTAATCGATTATGACCGTACATGGAGCCATCGCTATCGCAAATGTTCGCAAATTCTCAAATTTGGATTAGCTATCTGACACGACGACAATCTACACGGATCTCCTATTCAGACAATTAAATAAACATGATACTGCAGGCTTGTCCCTCTTTGAATAAAATAGTGTCGATTATAACAAAATTCTTGACAAAATAAAAAACATTGCGGCAACGAATACACAAACTATCTCTAATTCTTTTGATGATATAATTCTATTTCTCGTGATTTGTTCTGGTTTTAGAGTATAAAACTTTAAATCCATCTATCTCAAAAAACATTAGTAGAAAATCAGATCGGTTTAAAAAAGTATTTGTCACCCATTATAGGTGTTTCGTATATTTGCGGTCGGGTACCCGGCGATAAATTCCTGAAATCCACGAATTCACGATCTCGTAGCGCAATATATAAAACGCCGGCAGCCGCGTCTATCGCCACGGATATTTTCGTCGTGAAATAACGAGTCGCAGTGGAAGGATTCCCTAAACTTGGCAGATAAACATCGAGGAACGGTCTCGACGGTAGTCGAAGAAACCCCCTCCGTTAATTAGCCAAAAAGTAAGGCCTCTCTTACGGTTCTCCCTCGCTTTTCTTTCCTGCGTTACGCGCCACGACGGCACCGCCGTGAATAAAATACAGTCTCACAGTCTCCCCTCCCCCTCTCCTTCCCTTCCCCGCGAAACCCATCGTATCCCTGACTATCCGGTACACACGAGCTCTCGCCCCCTCGCATACGAGAGAAGAACCAGCCGAAGAGCCCTACGGCGTTCTCCGTAGTTCTTTCTCGCGCTCGTATCATCCTCGTCGCGGGCCTCTCTTTTTCCGTCCTTCTCTCGCGTCGAACGGCCGATCCTAATCTCGATAATGACGCGTAATGGCTGCTGGCGTGAATGTAGCTCTTTGTCCGCGGCTCCTGTACCGGTCGTATATCTGTCCGGTACGAGAACCGCGCCATTTCACCCCGTCGAAAAGCACGGGGGAGGCCGAAACGGCCGTTTCCAGACTCTTTTTCTACGTCCACGTCGCGTCCCCCTCCCGGCCCCCCTCTCGTCCTTATCCCCCTTCCAACCCTCGTCTCAGGCTCCAATCTCTATGCTTGGCAAGACGCCCTTCCCGAGAATTACGCTTAATCACTCTGTTCTGTGTAGCGCCGGGACTGCAGAGCCGTTTGTACGTATGTGTGTGTGTGATTTTTTTTTAAACTTTATTTTTGCAGAAGCGGTTATGAGAGTTCGATGACCACGAGCCCGCGGACCATCGACGCTACCATGGATTACCTGCAGACGTGCCTCATCTTTTACCTGCTGATCCTCTGCTTCTGCGGCGGACGTTCCATAGACATATGTAAGTAAACATGTCAATTTAATTAAAGGAATCCGATTCGACGTGAGACAGCTTCGCGCTTTCGAGTCAAACTCAAACTGCATACATTTCTCAATTGACAATGACTTAAGTATTGACAATTAATCGTCTCGATAATCATTAAATTCATTATTAGCTAAAACATTGCATAAATATATTTTCAATTTAATTAATTATTTCCTGTAAAAATCTTATGATAAATGATACAATAAATTCTTTTATTTTCCACATATAAAACAATTTTTTTGCGCAAAAGATATGGTTCAATTTCAAAAAGTCGTGATATTTATCGCTTAGTAGCAAAGAATCGATCCTCTCCGTAAAATCAGTAGATCGTAGTGGCAGAATCCCGGTAGAAATACGTGTTTACATCCAAGGCTATAATTTTACTCTGGATGGGTGCCTCTGCCCCCCGCGGTTTCACCCGATAAAAACAGAAAGGCCTCCCTCCGTACCGCATTGCCCTTTGCCTTACATTAAACCTCAGGCTCGGTTTCTACTCGGCTTGGTTTCCATCCCATTGACTCCGGCAGCCCGAGCCACCTCCCCGTGTCAGGTAAACAGGGCGAGAAACTTGCAAAGTATCCGCCAAGAGTTCCGAAGTCAGCCCCGGGAAAGGCTTTTAGGTACTCGTTCGTGAAATCGAGCTCGAAACTTACGTATACGGGACGTATTTCGCACCCGAAGAATTTCTCGAGCAGTACCGAAAGATGGATCGTGATGGTCTCTCGATTCGGTTACACTGCAACGCGTACCATCCCTTTCCCTGGATGAGTGAATAGATTCAAGTTATACAGAGTACGTGCATAAGCATAAAGTTTCCAGAATAGAAATTTTCTTATTTTATCGTATATCAATATTATATCATTTCAATTTTGTAAATCGATTAAATTGTTAATTCATAAAGATTCTACTGTCTAAATGTTAAATAAAAGTTAAATGGAATTACTGTGTCTGACAAGTCCTTGATAAGATTCATCACCGATAATACTATAAAGTCTTTGTAAGTGCACAGTAATCGGCTTACGCTTTAAGGCTAAATATATCTGTACAACGACTATTACGAGAACATACTAAATCAGGAAAGTTGATGTTACCTTCAAACTCTTGGAATCTATGCGCCATACTATTCAACCTCAAAGCCGATACTTGTTTTACCTTTGATCCTGCTTATACTTATACTTGAGCATCCCGGTGTAATCCATGAAAACAACTATATATAGCGCAAACTTCGCTAATTAAATTCTATCTGGTTATCAAAATAGCTCAACATAATCTTTGAGATAACAAGCGAAACAACACCGATTAAAACGGCAAAATTATATACAAAAAAAGAATTTAGCCTACAACTAATTAAATATGACATTTTAATAACATGGTCACAAAATAACAATCTATCAATTAATATGTCAGTCTGTTAGAATAAAAGCATCAAAAATAAAAAAATCGGCATATCAATTGTATCATTTCAAACACTTTTTTTATTCGCGCGTAAAAGTTGGAAATGGGACGACACACTTCGAATTTATTCGACCGTGCTTGGGATCCGATCGAACCGCATTTTTAACATCGGTGACCGAAAGATTCATAGAGCTTTACGTAAGTGGATCAACGTACTCCGACACGGGAAAAGCGCGAGCAGCGCCGAAATATAAATAGCACCCCCGTCCTCCTCCTCTTCCGTACGAAAGTTGGAAGTAGACCGCGAAGGGGAGGGCCCCCCCACGGTGACTGAACTTGTACATCGGTGAATTCGCGGTCGTGTTAAGCGAGCCGGTCAGCCATGGCAGAACCGAAGGACGGTTGTGGGGCGCTGGAAGGGCTCGCCGAGCAGTTAAAGCGCGCATAAATTGCAATGTTAATGTTGCCGGCAATACATAAACATGTTGCACGTCGGTCGGATTGCGGTGTCTGCGCGTGTTGCACAGCCCTCTAGGTTCCTGCGTGCCTGCGTGCATGCGTGCGTGCGTGTGTGCGAAAGGGCGCGTACGGTTTCGCGTGCACCGAGGGCGATTGGTACGCGTAGACGCGTGCCTAGACGAGAGCGGCCATTGCCGCTCGCGTGTGTATTAACGCGCCCGTGTTTCGGTGTTGCGTAATTGCGGAGCCAACGCGAGCGTGTACGTATACACGAGCGGACGAGTGTGTTGACGTCGGGGCGATAGGATAGGAGGTAATTATACAGATGCGTCATCCGGGAAAGGAGGGACGTGTGTATCTGACGTGGCAAAATTTACCGTACGTGACACATGTGCGGCGGACGATCACTTTTTTCGCATTCCGCGCGAGATTCATTGTTAACGGCAACTACGATGGCATAGCTAATGATGTAGCAGAGGATGTACCGATATGACTACATCTCTAAATAAATGACAAACATAAGCGAGACTACAAATGCAAATATATTATAATTTAGATTTTAATAATTATAAAAAAATATATGTTATGCATGTGCGCATATGTGTGTGTAATGAAACGGAGAATGTATGTAGGAATAACGCATTTGTATATGTTGTGGCATCGAAAACAGACGGTAGAAATGTGTCCGGGGAGAACCGTCACGCAATCGAGTTCTCTTGCGTTATAACATTGTCATCCCTCTATTACCTTCTTGATCCTCTCAACCCTCCTTTCCAATTATCTACAGATCCATTAGGCTCTAGCGTGATGGTGACGAAATTATTACAGGAGTCTTCAGCATATTAACATAACAATGCGGCAATTACTGTCCCTCGTTTACGCTCTATCGCCAACCCATACAAATATAAAACTCGAAGTACAGTTATAAAGATATTATAAATTTAAAAAACTAGCCTTCAAATAAATATGGGACTTCTCTCGTTTTAAATCTCCATGAATAATAGTAATAATAAAAATATAAATCATAAAACACATTGAAAAGAATTCCATGTATTATTGCATTATTATATATTTTTTTTACTATTTTGCATATAATTTGAACAGAATCAGATATATCACAAATTTGTGCGCAAAGATTGAGCCATCGATATTCCTTTCGCGAAGAACGCTATAATTGAAGCGATCATATCCTGTGTGCGCGGATAAACGGATTATTTTTACAGTCATCTATGCGCGAGTACACAAATATACTCTCACAATCGTATACCCTTCGTAGATACACTTATCAAAACATTCCCCGGTTATCATTACAACTTGTCACTCCTTTGTACGCTTGGTGCAGGCATTAATACTGGCTGACAGCTTCTGCGGGGCTTGTTTGAAAGGCGCGATTATTCGTACGACAAAGGCACCGCCAACACTTTCCGCACGTGTACATCGTATGTCTCTCGGATATAAAATCCCCGCGACGTAAACATTCCCAAGCCGGTATTCCGACATCTGTTTCTTACCCTCACGCAGACACCGATCTCGTCGTTCGGCTTGATCACGCGCCAGAACCCGACAGTTTACGCTCTCGCCCGCGGTACGCAAACTCGAGATCTCTTCGTCTCCCTAACGACTCTGGATAAATCGCCTCGAGTGCAATCGACTTAACCCCGCGTCTCATCATCCGGAGGCGCAGCCTTCGGGTACATTCTCGGCGAACAAGAATGAATCGGGAGAATCAAGCGGAATTGACACATTGAAAGGATGTCAGCTGGGCGGGAGACGCCAAGCGAAATAATCCTCGGCTTTCCGCGTTGCCACGATCGCGCGTCTCTTCTATTTTTCGGCGATATATCTCACGATCGCGTCGTCGCTTCGGAATATATACGCAAGCGAATGCGATTATCGCGAGTCTCTGTCGCGTCGCGATAAACCCGTTCGCATCTCGTTTTGCTGCGAGAGCGACGGCGCCCCGACGGCATTGCGGAATGTATCGAGCAACGAATCCGAAGGACGTCTCGTGCTTGACGCGTTGAAAGGACGTCAACTGTCAGACGTCGACGTCGAGTGTAATAATCCCCGACTTTCGGGTTCGAAGGGCGCCCGTCAATCTGCCGCGCGGATCTGTATTTTCATAAGGCCAACCCACGAAAGCAAACACCGCGTGCCCGGTTATACGAGCACGAAGGGTTCGTGCCCTAAAACCCTCCGCGCAACTGACATCGACTAGAACGAAAGAATTAGACGATGTGGACAGCGCGATCGAGAAAGAAAGGATTTATTTTCTTAAATGACACGTGTCAAATGTCCTCGTTTTTTCATTCTTACGTAAAAAAGAATTAAGAATTCGCAAATTCTTAAATTCAAAGACTATTAAAAGACGGACACGTATATTATAAAACAATATGATTATTATTAATTTTCTATTTTTTATCGAAAATTGTAAATGACTTGATATTTAAATAATTCTTCCAATATTTAAATAATTCTTCCAATTTAATATTGATTTTACAGTTTCTAAAAATGAAAGCTTAAATTAACAGATAGTTTCACAAAGGAACAATTCAATATAAAGCATCTTTATCTCTTCTAATATCGATTAACACCAGTCACACATTAGCGAATAAAACTGGTTAGTTTTGATAAATCCAGGCCACGAAGGCAGAAACCACGTACAAAAGGGTTGCACTTTCAACCCTCGGGATCTAAGTAACGCATGCAACTCGAGACGGTGATTTTCAGTCCACGGTGGATAACGCCTGAGGGGGTTTCAAGGGTGGAACGGCCGCGATGCGGAGAAGGGAGCAGGAGCGGTGAATAGGATAGAAAGGGCAAGAGAAAGAGAAAAGGAGAAAGAAAAACCTCAGGGAAATAGGAGGGACGAAAGGGTCGTGTAAAAGTAGTACTTCCGTTCTGCCAGTCGTCGCGGCGCCAGGGGGACGGGCATGCGCATTTTCGTCGAGGCAAGTTACCTTCTGCTTAGAACGAATGTTTGTTTTCTCTGAAAGAGGCGAAAATGGCTCCCTAGAAGGTCCAAGGAAACCGCATCTCGGCCTTCATGACCTTACGAAAGGGTACAACGCGCTGTCTAGGGGCGGCGAGCCCGAACGCACGAACTTCTTTCGAGGTCGACGCT